TCCTGGGATCGAGCCCCGCATCGGGCTCTCTGCTCAGCAGGGAGCCTGCTTCTCTCCCTCTCAATCTCTGCCTACTTGTGATCTCTGTCAAATAAATAAATAAAATCTTAAAAAAAAAAAACTGCCAGCTAACACACCAACATGTTCAAATTAAAATGAATATAAATAAGACGAGGTACTTGCAACTTAAATCAAAGTTCTAATAACTGTGCTTCATTAGTGGGGTACACTCAAAGAATGGACACAAAGGGAAACATTTTATCTTGTTATTCGTCTAGCAGTTTCCCTATAATTTGTTAATTTAAATATTTGCTGACAGACAAAACAAGTAATTTTGTTCATATTAATTAAGTGTTCCAGATAAAGAAATATACCTTTAGGGTTGGGGGTGGAAGAAATATAAAGAGTCTGGTAAAAGGGTACAAATTTTCAGTTATAGGATGCGTAAGGCCTGAGGATCTAATGTATAACATGGTGACTACTGTTGATCATACACCCAAAAGGTAATTATGTGAAGTGACAGACTAATTAATTCAATGGTGGGAATCCATTCACAATGTAGACATACGTCAAATCATCACACTGTATATATATTTTTGAAGATTTTTATTTATTTGACAGAAAGTGAGAACAGCATGGGGAGCAGCAGAGGGAAAGGGAAAAGCAGGCTCTCCACTGAGCAGGGAGCTCCATAAAGGGCTCGATTCCAGGACCCATGATCTGATCTGAAGGCAGACCCTTAACCAACTAAGCCACCCAGAAGCCCCTAAATTATCACATCATATACTGTGAATATATTACATTTTGTCAATTATAGCTCAATAAAGCTGGGCGGGGGCGAAGAAAAAAAAGTTTATGACCTTGCACTTCTTGGTATTTATGTTCTTGGTTAGTATATTCCCATAGTGAATATGGGCTTGCCTAATGTGATTGTCTTGGCCTATGGAGACATTAGAAAGTCTGACACAGCATAGGCTTGATAAGAGCTCACATACTGAGGGCTTGTAAAGCTCCAAGAAGCAAGGCGCCATGGTAAAAAAAAAAAACAACACTTGGGCAAGACTACTAAAAGATGAAAAGTCATGCAGAGAAAGACCTTGGAAGATAAGAGGCCAGGTGGGATGTTCTCATCCCACTTGAGCTTCTAGCTGAATATAGCTGAATGAGTGACCTCAAATCCACCATATGAGGCAAAACTGCCCTGCTGAGCCCAGTCAGTCCATTGACCATGAGAAATAATAAATCTGGGGGGTGGTCTGTATGCTGCAATACATAACCAAAACAGCTTCATTAAGTTATATTTTTATTTATTTATTTTAAGATTTTATTTTTGAGTAATCTCTACACCCAAGATGGGACTCAAACTCATAACCCCAAGATCAAGAGTCACATGCTCCACCAACTTAGCCAACCATGCATGCCAAATTATATTTTTAAAAAGGGATACAAATTCAATTCCAGTAAAGAGTTAAAAACCGGGTTATCCCAGGAGTAATGTTAAAATTGAATTGGAACCAAAACAAATTCACAACACATCTTTGAAATAGATCTCTTCTAGTTCTGCTCAATAAAATGACCTAAATAACAATATCACCTGAGACATAAGTCTGATACATCTCCCAGGTACTTCGGTCTCTAATACTATGTTCTGTCTCCTCAGAAGGATGGCTGAACCCATTCAGAGTAGGGAAGATACAAAGTGGTCTTGGGACAACCAGCTAATATCAGAAAACAAGTCTTTAAAAACACATGAGATCCTATCAAAAGAACACAAAAAGCAGCTCAAAAGTACATTAAGATGGCTTTTTTTTTTTTCTGATAAAACATTAAAGGAAAGTCTAATGCAACCACTGCAACAACACCCCTAAAGGCAGCTCTCTGGACACTCACATATTAGGTAACATGCTCCTCATTACCTAAAACATTAATGAAGTGTGTCATGGCCTTCCATCTATAGGTCTGAGAGACCCTCCCAGTGCTATAGCCTTGGGCCTTGAAACACTGTAAAGTAAACATGCAGCATCAGAAGTGAATTTTATCTTTTGAATGTACTTGAGATAAAAGGAATCTGCTTTTCTTTTTAATGTTCTTGCCAATACATTTCAACAGTTATTTGAACCTTTAGGTTCAGTTATTTGAACAGTTATTTGGCCTTTAAAACAAAGGTCTTCCTAAGGACAAAGATATATGCCAAAAATGCACATAATGAGCATTCTTTAAACACCAACCTAGAGAAGCAAGTTAAGAGGTTTTCTTACCCGAGCTTAAAACAATCCTGGATCATTAACTCTACTTTTGCTGACTGATCCAAAGAGATAGCCAGGAAAAAACAATTTATCTATGAGATATAAAAAAGAGCCCAAAAGCTAGTATTTCACATTCTTGTGTTTGTAGCTTCAGGCTCACAAAGATTTGGTGACTTAAAATTATAAAAGGCAAATAACATAATTAAATAATATTTTAATACATAACTATTATATAAATGATACTTTAGAAGTTATAATTTTTTTAAAGCAACAAGCATTCTCATTAAGAAGTGAATCAAGTTATGGGGCGCCTGGGTGGCTCAGTGGGTTGAGCCTCTGCCTTCGGGTCAGGTGGTGGTCTCAGGGTCCGGGGATTGCCCCCCGACCCTGCATCGGTCTCTCTGCTAGTGGGGAGCCTGCTTTCCCCTCTCTCTCTCTGCCTGCCTCTCTGCCTACTTGTGATTTCTCTGTGTCAAATAAAAAAATAAAATCTTAAAAAAAAAAAAGAAGTAAAGCTAGTTATATACTATAAATACAATAAAGAGGTATGACTTTTAAATTTGGAAAATATTTAAAACTAAAACTATGGAAAAATCAGATAGAAGAAAATTGAATGTATATAAATTTAAGTATATAGTAAAAAGATGTTTATCCTGCACTGTCAGGATGTTTATGCATGTACAGGAATGCAGACTGCTGTATACCCAAGCCTTATTCATGTCAAACTGAATTTAGATTAAACCGGTACTAGCTATACTTGGGTTGGGCATATTAGAATGGTGTGGACAATTAAAAGAATACTGAGGTTTTCAATAAATGTAATTACTTAATATAATACCTATGATGTCTGTATAAGATGACCTCAAAACTGTCTTAGTATTCTATTTTTTTAAAGGATTTTATTTATTTATTTACTTAACAGAGAGAGAGAGAGAGAGAGAGAGTACCACAAGCAGGGAGAGTGGGAAAGGCAGAAGCAAGCTTCTCACCGAGCAGAGAGCTGGTTGTAGGGCTTGATCCAAGGACACCGGGATCATGATCTGAGCTGAAGGCAGACGCTTAAGAACAGAGCCACCCAGGCATCCTGCCTGTCTTGTATTCTAGAAAAAAAAAAGTCAATGCTGCACTTTTCTTTATAATAACCTGTGTGCCTTTTCTTTGGCATGACAGAATTTTTTATGATTCTCTCACCAACAAATGTTGGAATACCGGCCATGTAAAATAAATACAAATCTGATTTAAATCAAACACAAGGATAAGCCTGGTTTCTTTTGGTGTACTTATTCCAAAAAAAATTAATAAACAAAATTAAAATTACTTAGAGAAAAAGAATGAGAGAGAGAAAGTAGCCATGTTAACACTGCCCCACATATCCCTTAATCCACTTCTGCGGAAAAGTAAATTACATTTTCAAGATATCTTCTATGATCTGTATATATTTTCCTTATGCCTTATGTCATCTATACATCTAACACAAAACAGCTCTCTTCCCAGAAAATTATCTTTTCTTTTCGTACAAGCCTTAAGAAAGTTTAGGGAAGAGTGCAGAAAGAGAATGGGGCCACAAAATGATGCAGTTAGGCAGGAGCTTGCACTGAATTAAGCAAGGATCCAGCAATCCCAGAGTGTACTCTATGACTGTATTAATGTCACTTCAACTAAAGTCTCCATGCATGTCAGTCAGTTGTGACTTACTGATCTATAGGTACCAAAACGAAATAACTGATGTTAGTAATAATGACCATTAGAAATCAAGAAAAGATATTATCTTCAGGGTGTCTGTTTCCTTACCGCAAAGAAGAAACATTTTACAAAGATCTCTTTTAAAATAGCTAACAATCATAACTGCCAGCTAGCATTTACAGGGCTAACTTTGGTTATCTAGGACACTTTATCCAGAATTTTTCTCACTACCACTCATGATTTAGGTTGTGCTGTATTTTCATTTTTTTTTTAAGATTTTATTTATTTATTTGACAGAGAGACATCACAAGTAGGCAGAGAGGCAGGCAGAGAGAGAGGAGGAAGCAGGCTCCCTGCTGAGCAGAGCACGAGATGTGGGGCTCCATCCCAGGACCCTGGGATCATGACCTGAGCTGAAGGCAGAGGCTTTAACCCACTGAGCCACCCAGGCGCCCTGTATTTTCATTTTTTAAATCTAATTTTTAACTAAGACCTTTTAACAATTCTGAAATATAGCTCTTCATAACCGGCATGCTTCTTGGTACTTTTTTTCCACACCTACCTGTTAAACTTTATTTGGCTAAACCAACCCCAACATCACTAATGTTACAATGAACTTGTTAGACTAGATGGACAAGCCTCATAGTCTTATGTGGAATATCAGACATTGAATTCTCCAGTTAAATACCTCAAAGTGTCCACATGTTAATATGGTAGTCTTAGCAGGTTTGATTTTCAGCTATTGAGGAGGGACACGAACAAGTGGTAAGTTTCAATTCTGTTTAAATAAGGTTGTGAATCCTGTGGGATGCACTGTGGGAGTACACTGGGGGGATCGGCATTCCCGGGTCACGCCTAAGACCCACCACCTGCCTCGCTGGCGGCCGCGTGCAGGTCGCGGGCGGGGGAAGGCGCGAGTAAGAGAGGGACACACCTCCGCAACGGAGGCCCAGGACGCGGGTCACTGAGGTGTGGGAGGAGTGCAGGACCGGGTCTCCGACGGGCCCCGAAACTTGGGACTTCCCCCAGGACTGTTCCCTGGGTCGGTGACGCCGCAGGTAGGTCACTCACTCGGATTGGCCGGCACGGACGAAGGCCATAGCAACAGCGCGACTAGAAGGACTAAGAACTTCATGGGCATCGTCCGCAGCACTCCGCCATGCGACGGGAACGTCCTGGGCCACAGGGCCGGGTACCTCAGGGCCGAAAAGAGAGGGTGCCTAGGGCGACCGTCCCCCCTCAGGGCCGTGGGCGCCCTGCAACGGTTGTCCCCAGCGCGCAGGCGCAGCGAGGGGTGGGGGAGGGGAGCGCGAGCGGCCGAGGCCCGCCCCTCCTGGAGAGGGCGTAGGGGGCGGGGCGATAGCGCTCAGCCGAGTCGGTGCGCATGCTCGCTCGGGTTTCGAAACTGCCCGCGCGCGGTACTCCGAACTTGACGCCCAGGCTACTCCTGGAGCTGTGAGTGCTGGGATGTGGCGGGGCTGGGGGACTCCGCGAAGGATGGGCGTGTGGCGGTGCTTGAAAGACTGCCCTTGCGCGGAAGGAGCGGTCTGATGGAAGACACAGACGAGTAGCCTGGCCGGTACAGCCGCGTGGAAGTGCTGTAGTGGGGGAAGCACTCGGCACTGTGGACCACAGAGGAGGTTCCCCCCAATCCAAAAGGGCTGGGGGGGAGTCTCCCCAGAGGGAAGAAAGCTAGACGCTTACGGGGAACCGAAAAGTCCAGTCTAATTGCCACGATGGGGTGGGGAGCAGGTGTTGGAGGTGAGGTAGAAGAGCTAGGTAGTCATTAAAGCTACTTTAAGGGGCTTGGGTTTGTTTTGTTTTGTTTTGTTTTTCCCAAAAGATCCCCCTCCCTCCCTTAAAAGATAAGCTATGGAGACAAACTATGGTGAATAGATCCGTGATTGTCTGGGGTTAGGGATGTGAGAGAGTGTAGCTATAAAAGGATAGCATAAGGGAGTGATTTGGAGTGGCACATAGTTGTGGTGGCCTTAGAATCTAAACACGTGTTAAAAGTCACAGACGTGTACACCAACCACCAAGGCTAAGTTTTACTATAGGGTAATATTTAAAAATCTATATGCACCCATATCTCTGCTTCAGGAAGCAAAGGGCATGGGTTTTATTCTGAGGCAATGGGGAAATAGTGCAAGGTTTAGAGCTGGGAAAAGTGATGGGGAAATAGTGCAAGGTTTAGAGTTGGGAAAAGTGTAATTAGATTTGCATATCAGAAAGCTCCCCTTGCTGTGTCAAGAACTGGTTGGAGGGAAGGAAGCAAGACTAAAAGGAAGAGAGCCAAGTTAGGAGACTGTTCTGGTACTCCAAGCATGGATTGACAGAGACCTGGACTCATACTGGCAGAGCACATGGGGCCCATGGACAGAGTTGAGAGACATTTAGAGTTAGAATCAACAAGACTGGGAAATTGTCGGAATGTGAGGACTGAGGGAGAAGGAAATCATGCTCATGTTTCTGGCTTGAGCACCTTGCATGTGGTGTGAGATGGGGAATACAGGAGTTGGGGGAGATGGAGGAAGAGAAGTTTACTCTCAACATTGTTCTGTTGAGATGGGCTTGGGACCTCCTTCTGGCAAAGCCTGTCCAGTGAATGGAGGAATGTGGGGCCCTAGAAAAAGCTGAGATGAAGAGGGAGGTGTAGGAGGCATCAGAACCTAGAAGTGGGGATGTATGATCGGATTGCCTGAGGAGAGCTTCTAGAGGTGAAGGCCTTTAGGGTACGTTAGATCCCTGGAAAACATGGCAGGCTAGAAGGAGGACAAGCAAAGGAAACAAAGTGGAGAGAGGAAAAGCAGGAGAGAATGGAAGCTTTATGGGAAAGGAGGAGTCGAAGGCTGTCACATGCTTCTGAGAAGTCAAACAGGAGAACTTCATTCAGCAACAGGACCCTTGACAGAAGCAGTTCAGTGTAGTGGTTTAGACAGATGCCAGACTACAGGAGTTGAGGAATGACTAAGAGCCTAGGAAATGATGACAGCTGATACAGACAACTCTTTCAAGTTTGGTGCAGGGGTCTTGGGTGTGCCCTACCAGAGCTCTTCTAGAATCAAACACTTATAACTATTTGGAAAGCAATTTGGAATATGTAACAAAAGCCTTAACATAATATAAATACTATGATGTAAATTACATAAAATAAATTCAGAGGGGGATATGTCCTAAAATAGCCATATTGGATCATCATCTATAATAAAATTTTAAAAAATAAGAGAATGGTAAAGTTTGTTTCTAAATAAGCATTCTAAAATATTGTTATAATACTGGGCAACTATTAAAATGGTGCTCATAAGGCACCTGGGTGGCTCAGTTGGTTGGGTGACTGCCTTGGGCTCAGGTCATGATCCCGGAGTCCCAGGATCGAGTCCCGCATCGGGCTCCCTGCTCCGTGGGGAGTCTGCTTCTCCCTCTGACCTTCTCCCCTCTCATGCTCTCTCTCTGTCTCTCTGTCAAATAAATAAATAAAATCTTTAAAAAATAAATAAAACGGTGCTCATAAAGTATATCTAATTTGGGGAAATCTTTCCATTGTAGTGAATTATATTTGAGGTATTAACTGAGGTTTCACCTTCCCTGAGCTCCCTTGTCCCACTACCTTTCATTCCACCATTGAGATATCTGTGGTCACCTTAATAATGCATGTGCTTCAGGGAAGGACAGCCAGAATCTTGAACAGAGAAGTCAAAAGAGGGGCTGAATTTTCTTTTTTTTTTTTTTTTTTTCAGTTCATGATGGGGTTGAAAGTTAAATCACTTTTATAGGAGCTGCTGCTTAGCTGAAAAGTTTTGTTTTTGTTGTTTTGTTTGTGTTTTTAGTGGACATGCTTGCTTGACTTCGAATATCAAAAGCCAAGGAAACTGGTGGACAGGAGAGCATAAACCATAGATTGGGGGTGGTTTCAGGATGATGTATAATCTGTTTCCCCACCACTGATTGCAATTTACAGAGAGAACCCCCTCATTGGTTTTGGTGTTTGCAGAGATAACTTACATCTCCCGAATTGAGTGAGGGACTGTTAGTGAGAGGTTCAAAGAAGATGTCCGTTTGTTAGACCCAGAGTTGGGGTTGTTTTTTGCTTTTTTGTATGTTTATATAAATCAGGTAAGACCTTAGTGGCTTTCAACTTATGGATCATCCAAATGGACATGTTGAGGGGCGTCTGGCTGGCTCAGTCAGAAGAAAGTGTAACTCTTGATCTCAGGGTTGTCGCTTCAAGCACCATATTGAGTGTAGAGATTACTTAAATAAACTTAAAAAAAAAAAAGAAAGAAAAACAAATGGACATGGTGAAATAGCCAAGGTATATCCTAACTGTGGGATTTTAGTTACCAAGAATGACTTTTAACTCTGTGTACTTTATGATCTATGTACTAACATAGGAAAAACCTCCAAAATAGGGTATTGAGTATTTTTTTTTAAATGCAGAAAAGCACATATCCATTTATGTAAAACCATAGCACAGTTATATATTTACATGAATACTCCAGAAATCATTCTGAAGAAAACACAGCAAGCTGATAGCAGTGCTTGCTTCTAGGAAAAGAAATGAGATTGGGTGGGAAAGTGAAGATTTTGAAGGGAGAATTTTTCTTTTTACTCTGTTTTTTTTCCCTTATCTCTTAAATTTTTTTTTCTTCTTTTTTTTTTAAGATTTTAAAAAATTTATTTATTTGACACAGAGAGAGAGGGAGAGAGCAAGGACAAGCAGGGGGAGTGGCAGGCAGGGGAGAAGCAGACTCCCTGCTGAGCAAGGAGCCAACGTGGGGCTCAATCCCAGGACCCTGGGATCATGACCTGAGCCAAAGGCATCCGTTTAACCACCACCCAGGCACCCCTCTGTTGAATTTTTCAAACAAGATTGTATTATATATTATGCATTTATCATGTAATTAAAATAAAAACTTTTTACAAAATCTAGAAGCTTGGAGGAGAAGTAGTAGTAAAAGTAATATGCATCTTATGCCTTGTGCTTTCTCCTATTGGCTTCACTGAAATATGCTTTTTTAAGAGAGGGAGAGGGAGGGAGGGAGAGATGATTAGGATAGGGAGAGAGAGAATCTTAAGTAGATTCCATGCCCAGTGTGGAGCCCATATGGGGCTCAATCTCACGACCCTGAAATTATGACCTGAGCTGAAATCCAAGAGTCAGATGCTGACTGAGCCACCCAGGAGCCCTTCACTGAAATATTTTTAAAGTGACTAATTCACTACCCCCAAAAAATGTATTTTGGCCTGTATCTCTGCTTCGCCTTTGGAGTCTTTAAACTGTTCTGATGCCTAATCACACAGTATCATTTAATATTACATGATTTTTTTTCAGGGATGTATTGTATCTTCCCTTTATATTGGTTCTTATGTTTCTCCATTTCACACAGCATCTTGGTGCTCAGTAAAGATTTACAGTTCATGCTCTTCCAGCCTAAAGGAAGAGACACCAACCTGTCCTTCCTCTGAATCTCCCAGATCTATTAAAATCCACTGTGTTTCAAGGCCCAAATGCCATATCTGCTAGGAAGCCATCCCTTCCTTATCCTTCCAATTAGAATATATGGTATTTTTCCCTTCCCCATATTCCCACAATACTATTTTTTCATTTAATTACTGTTTTTTCATTTAATTACTGTTTTATTTTTACAATTCAAACTTCTCTAGACCAAAGTCTTTGAGGTCAGAGAAGCAGATTTAAGTTATCCCTGCATTGCACTCTCCCCACCCCAGCCAAAATATTGCATTCATAGGTGCTCAATAAATGCATGTTTGAGTTCAAAGGAAATTGAAAGGTTGGGAATTTTTTGGTAGGTTTTTACAGAATCCTAAAAGGAACTAAGTTATTCAGCTGCAGAGACAACTTCCAGCACAAATTGCATTATCAAGAAACTTCTCAGCTCTTACGTGTCTGTGAGGCCATTGTTTAAGCTCAGGTGGAAGGAATAGCACTAGTCTCATCTACTCTTTTCTTTATATATCCCTGCAAGTAATTCTGGATAATAAATTTCTAATTGTGGAATTGCCGTCAAATGAAATGCACCAATTCCCATACCCATCAATAGTGTAATGACTTAAGAGGCACCTGGGTGGCTCAGTTGGAAGTGTCTGATTCTTGATTTCAGCTCAGGTTATGATCTCAGGCTCTGTGATAGGTGTGGAGCCTGCTTAAGATTCTCTCTCACTCTGCCCCTTTCCCCTGCCTGCTTGTGCATGCTTTCTTTCTCTCTCTTTCAAAAAATAAAGTAGGGCACCTGGGTGGCTCAGTTGGTTGGGTGACTGCCTTCGGCTCAGGTCATA